TGCCCAGCCGACGCCAGGGCGTACATCCGAGCACTGGACTCGTCTGTTTTCAGAGGTCCGGTTGAAAGCAGATTCCAATGCAGAGGCTGTCCCTAGAACCTGGTATTCAGTGTCCTCGCTTGGACTGAAGGATTGCGGAAAGTATTGAAAAGGTGAGCAGGCCCGGTTGTCGAATGTTCTCGAATGGGCAATACGTCATCTGAGGATGAGTTCTCTAATGCTAAGGTTCAGGTCGACCAAGACATTATGTGCTCAAGAGCATCTGACACTGATAGCCAGGCCAATGTTTATGTCGTTCCATCCGGCTAGGCACGGTGAAGCACTGCAGAAAGCACCCCAAGATAGAAAGGCCAGACAGAGAGAGAAAAAGAAAATGGGCCAGATACCGCAGCATCTGCTTGGAGCTCTCTTGGGTGAGGGTTTGGTGCTCGAACGGCTGAGTCAAGTGAATACAGTTTTTAGAGCTGAGATCACTGACTCAAGGAATGGATTCTTCCTCTGATGCGCTTCCTTTTAGAGAAAATGGTCATGAAGATTCATTGCTGTGTAGAGCTGTTGAATTGAATCTTCTGTACAATGTGTTTCTTGTTAAGAAAATGACTTGAAGACTCATTTCATTTGCAGAGCTGCCAACGTTGGATCTTCCTCTAATGAACTGTCCATCAGGGAAGATGATTACGAAGATCCATTGCGAGTGTAGTGCGTTGATTCGCTCGTGTACAGTCGGTATCTCTTTCTGAGCCTCGTGGGTTTGCGCGCATTTGCTTTTGGAAGAAGAGTCCTTTTGACACGCGTCCATTTTGAACCTGAAATATAATATATAGTATTGATTTGCGGCCGAGACAACTACCGTGAAGACCTTTACTCGAGCCTGCTGCTCCTTGCAGTTTGCCAGATGTTTTAATTTGACGCAGTAAGCGCGGATTTTGAATCTTTCGAGCTTTCGTGATGCGTGGTCGTTGGTTCGGTATTCGGTTTTAGTTTTAGGTCCTTGTGTGAAAGCCGCTACGGCCTTGCTCTCACAGACCAACTGAGCGCCGATACGTGCACGGTATCTTCACGAGCTGAGGGTACAGTCAGCCGAGTGTCAACTGTTTGACTTTTGACATAAGGGTGAGTAAGCTACAGCTCCCTTTCTGCACTTTTAAGCTAAGATGCTACTTGTCTATAGTGTGAAACACACTGGACTCGTATGTTTATGGCACCTTGGTACTTGCGACGGTTTGCAGACTGCTGGGCGTAGACTTTGCCTTGAAAGGCAAAGATAGCGTCAATGCGCTCCGTGATGGAAATGACTTTATGAATTGCACCTGCTGAAATGTATGCGGGTCTGTACAGTTGTCACTTCCTTGTCAGGTGCGACTTGGCGTTGTCATGTTCCTCAAGGCTCAAGGGACCTCAAGAGGTAGTGCCCGTTACAAAAGACACTATATAGCGGCCTGCACCCCTACAGAGTTCATATTAGTCACTCTTTCACCCCCCTTAAACAAAAAAACACGAGTTGGCTCTTCTCCTGGGTTGCAAAAACAGAAAGCTCAACAGCCAGTCGAAGGTTGACCGAGATGCAATTATTGCGAGTGAGTGGATTATAGAACAGTCGATATATCACTAGACGACGAGTGGCCCGAAAGCATTTTTCATCACGTAGGAAGTC